AGAGAGAGAAGGGAGAGGCTTTGTTACGTTCAGGGCCCAAAGACTGACTCTACGTTGGGGGCGTTCGAGAACGAGAAAGAATGTGCCGAGGAGGCTTCAGACCCTGGAGGTTTTTGTGAGATGAGGGCGGCGGCGATATCCATAGCCACGCCTCGGTCGATGTTCCATTGGCCTCCAGACCCCAGATTCCTAGTCCAATGATTCTTTTCTCAACGCCCTCATCAGTAGTGCGTAACAAGGCGAAGCGGAGGAGATCGGCCTGGCTGCTGGGCCAGCAGCCAGCTCAGACCACCCTCGTCGGAGCGCCCTCGCGCCAGGCCCAGGGGATCTTGCCAGTGCCACCCGCAGGGCTCCCAGGGCCGCGCCACTTCCCAAATGAGGCTTTCACTGAGGGGTGCTTGCTGGCACTGTCGAGAGTCGCCCCTTGCTTCCACGTGCGGCGTCGCATGCTTCGGCTGTTCTTGGAACGCGCTCTGGTGATAATTGGCGGTGCACCCATGGGGGGAAGGCAGGCGCTCCTGGGGCCATCTCGGAGGAGATCGATCAAAGAAGGGGGGTTCCCAAATTACCCCCCCCAGAAGGCCGAAATGGGCTTAGTGAAACCAATGATTTTGGCTTCCTCGCCGAGGCCGCTTTGGGCGCTCCAACTACCCGCGAACCCCCTCGTCCAGGTCCAGGGTAGGGGGTAGGGGGAGGGGTCAAGACTCCGTCCCCGCCCGCAAGCCGTCTCGCTCACTCCCACCCGCCCTCCCAACACATACGTAGCACCCGAGTCTGGCCCGAGCCTCAGCATATTCAGCAGGCGTGTTTGGATGGGCAGCTACTGGGGGCCAATCCGCCGCCGCTGCCGCCGCTGCCGCCGCCGCCGCCGCCGCAGCCGCCACCGCCGCCGCCGGCGCCGCCGCTGCCGCCGCTGCCCGCCGCCGCCGCCGTCGCCGCCGCCGCCGCCGCCGCGCCGCGCCCGCCGCCGCGCCGCCGCCCGCCGCCGCGCCGCCGCCGCCGCCGCCCCGCTGCCAAATCAACGCCGCCGCAGCCGGTGCCGCCGCAGCCGCGGCCGCCACCGCCACCGCTGCCGCCGCCACCGCCCCTGCCGCCGCCGCAGCCGCCGCCGCCGTCGTCGCCGCCGCCGCCTCCGCCGCCGCCGCAGCCGCCGCAGCCGCCGCCGCCAAGTGTACTCTGCATTGTTTTTTGACAGGGATGGTGGGGGGAGGCCGCATCGGGTTGGCTGCGCATGCTCCGAATTTTGAGGCAGAGTGAGGTTTGTATGGTTTTTTACAGGGGAGGGGGGGCCTTCATGGTTCTGGGTTGGCTGCCAGTCGCCCGGGGGAGGGGGTGTTTATTAAGAGGCAACAGTGATAAACCCTTCCCGAAGGGAAAGAGGGATGGGTGGAAGAGGAAGCTCCCTAAACCACCTGACGCCCTAAAGGGCTGGTGGGATTCAGTCTCAGGCTTCCCACTGGTCTAACTCGCGCCTTGGCTGGCGTGGGTTGGCGGCTCCTGGGATCGCCGCCGCAAGGGTGAAAGCCGTGGTGTGCTCGCCTCCCTTCTTCCTTCCTGTCCCGCGTCCCCCTTCTGCTCTCGCCGCTACCGTGCATCGAAGTGGTCCCAGCTAGAGCTTGCGCGTCGTGGTCGCTCGCCTCCGAGTGGTACACCGTGGCTCCGCGCCGGCGAAATATGCGCAAGCAAGTAATGCAGCACCGTAGCCTTGGCTCAAGAAGCGCGGCAGATCCTGAGCAATAAACCTACACAGTAGTCCCACACGATGCTGATGCTGATGCTGATGCTGATGCTGATGCTGAATCTGCTTCTGATGCTGATGCTGATTCTGATGTTGTTGTTGTTGTTGTTGTTGTTGTTGTTGTTGTTGTTGTTGTTATTGTTGTTGTTGTTGTTGTTGTTGTTGTTGTTGTTGTTGTTGTTGTTGTTGTTGTTGTTGTTGAACATTATTTCTTCTTAAGAATAATTATTGTTGGGACCCCTGGTGCGCGCCCCCCCGCCGCGCCTAGGCCGCAGCCACATTTTCATCATTTTCGTGAGGAAGCCTCAGGTAAAACGATGTGATCCAGATCCGGTTGTTTTGTTCCCCCCCGCTTTCCCTTGCAAAAAACACTATAAAATGACATTTCTTGTTCTAATATAATCAAATTTCAAGAATCCCTTGCAAAAAATAAGGTAAAGTGGACATTCGCGCGCGCAAGACGAAATCCTTCCAAAACCTTAGTGTTCGTAGCGATTTTAACATAAAAACATCAAAAAACCAATGGTTTTTCAACAAAAAATTGTCAAAATCTCATCCCGCGCGCTCTTGCGGATTCGTAGGAAACCCAACACTTTTTAAACATTTCTGTCAAACGGGCTTTTGCGAGCAACTTTTTCGAACTTCTGCAACAACGGTTGCGCACCTGCCAGGGCCATCATCCCTGTCAAATAATACCATGCGGGACACATTCGTTTTTTCTTCGCGCGCGCACGCCGTCGTCGTCGGCCGCGGGGCCCTGAATAGTAGCCACGGTCGTCCGCATGCCACGAAGTGAAGTGTCCGAACGTCATAGGGCGGGAAGCTGGGTGTGGGTGGTGGCGAAGAGTCGTTTGGAAATTTGGTAGAGCTTGAACCGGCCCCCCCACAAAGTGGGGGTATTGCCCGCCTCCTATGAAAACCCTGGCACTGGTGAGAACGGAGTGTCCCCACGTGCTAGTAATTGAACATTATTTATTCTAAAGAATAATTATTGTTGGGGCCCCTGGTGCGCGACCCCCTCGCCGCGCCTAGGCCGCAGCCACGTTTTCATCATTTTCGTGAGGAAGCCTCCGGTAAAACGATGTCATCCAGATCCGGTTGTTTTGTTGACGCCCGCTTTCCCTTGCAAAAAACACTATAAAATGACATTTCTTGTTCTAACATATCCAAACTTCAAGAATCCCTTGCAAAAAATAAGGTAAAGTGGACATTCGCGCGCGCAAGACGAAATCCTTCCAAAACCTTAGTTTTCGTAGCGATTTTAACATAAAAACATCAAAAAACCAATAGTTTTTCAAAAAAAAATTGTCGAAAGTTCATCCCGCGCGCTCTTGCGGATTCGTAGGAAACCCAACACTTTTTAAACATTTCTGTCAAACGGGCTTTTGCGAGCAACTTTTTCGAACTTCTGCAACAACGGTTGCGCACCTGCCAGGGCCATCATCCCTGTCAAATAATACCATGCGGGACACATTCGTTTTTTCTTCGCGCGCGCACGCCGTCGTCGTCGGCCGCGGGGCCCTGAATAGTAGCCACGGTCGTCCGCATGCCACGAAGTGAAGTGTCCGAACGTCATAGGGCGGGAAGCTGGGTGTGGGTGGTGGCGAAGAGTCGTTTGGAAATTTGGTAGAGCTTGAACCGGCCCCCCCACAAAGTGGGGGTATTGCCCGCCTCCTATGAAAACCCTGGCACTGGTGAGAACGGAGTGTCCCCAGTCTTAAATGATTGTTGTTGTTGTTGTTGTTGTTGTTGTTTTTGTTGTTGATGACGATGATGATGATGATGATGATGATGATGATGATGATAATGAGGCTGTTGATGAGCATGAGGATGAGGATGGGGATGGATATGATGATGCTGATGCTGATGCTGATGCTGATGCTGACGCTGCTGATGATGACACTGTTGGTGGTGATGATGATGCTGATGATGATGATGATGATGATTCTGATGAGGATGATGCTGATGATGATGATGATCGTGGTGGTGGTGGTGGTGGTGATGATGTTAATGGTGATGATGGTGATGATGGTGATGATGATGATGATGCTGATGCTGATGCTGGTGCTGATGCTGCTGCTGCTGATGATGATGATGGTGATGGTGATGGTGATGGTGATGGTGAATGGTGATGTTGATGGTGATGATGATGATGATGATGATGATGATGATGTGATGGTGATGTGATGATGCTGATGCTGATGCTGATGCTGATGCTGATGCTGATGATGATGATGATGATGATGATGATGATGGTGATGACGATGCGATGATGATGAGGAGGATGAGGAGGAGGAGAAGGAGGAGGAGGAGGAGGAGGAGAGAAGGAGGAAGAGGAGGAGGAGGAGGAGGAGGAGGGGGAGGATGGGGAGAAGGAGGGGCGAAGGGGAAGGAGGAGGAGTCACACGTCGCGCGCGTGACCTTCTCGCCGTCCTGCTCCGATATCCTCCAGCGCCGTCGTGCGCCCGCGCGCGCGACCTTTCCGCCGTCCTCAGTCAGAGCGTGTCGCTTGATTGCGCCCCCCGTCTGGAGCCATGCAGCGCTGAGGCCCCTCGCGCCCCCGGGCCGCCTGCATGGCGGAGTCCCCTTGGGACGGCGTGGTGCAGCCCCCGCCCAGAGACGTGTGCGTGCAGTACAACGGGGAGGAGTACGACTGGCCGGACCTCCTGGATCGCCATGACCTCTCGAAGAACAAAACACGGCACAGACAGTAACTTTCGGAGTTCCACGTGGATTTCTTGGATCTGCGCTGGACCCCCTATCGGCGCCTCCGGCGCCGTCCCTGGCGCGGTCCCCTCGCGTGGGAGGGGGGCCCAGCGCCGATCCAGGACATCCGCACGGAGCTCCGAAAGTGTGTGCTTCTGCCGTGCCATTGCTCCTCGACCATCGCGGTCCTCCAGGAGAATGTCCTGCACTACTTCCGCGTGCCCATCGAGCGGCAGGCCATCTACTCCCAGGAGGGCCCCGTCCTCACCACGGCGGACGTCCAGCGGGAGCTGCTGCGCGAGGCCCCCTGCTTCCGCGTCCACGACCGCGGCGGCCCCCTCCGCCGGAGCCTGCTGTCGGAGCTCGTGGCCACCAGGGACCCGGCGGGCGCCCCGCCGGCGCCCCCGCCCAGCTTCGGCGCCGAGGCGCCCACGCGCCCCGCCGGCGCGGCGGGCCCGCCTCGCGAAGGCCCGGGCTCGCCGGCGACCCCGCCGAGCTTCCGGGCCGAGGGGCCCACGTGCCTCGCTGGCGCAGCGGGCGGCGCCTTCGGCGGTGCGGCGGGCCCGGCTCGGGAAGGCCCGGGCGTGCTGCAGATGCAGTGCTCCGCGCGCAGTGGCCCTGCTCAGCTCGTCGCCGGCGTGGCCTCCGACGGCGCCCTGCTGCTGGCGCCGCCGCCGGAGGCCGCGTCGTCCTCCGCGTCGCCGGGGAGGCGGCTGCCTGACGTGCCCGACGTCTCGGGGCGGGGTCTGTTGGATCTGGCCACCTTCGCGGACTTCAGTGAGCAGCTGCTCGCCGAGCGGACCAGGCTGGAGCAGGGGGCCCTGGAGACGGTCGAGGCCCTGGAGGCTGCCATGCAGCGGCAGCACGAGAGGGCGGTGGTCCTCGAGAGCGCCCTGCGGGAGGAGTGCCAGGGGCAGCTCCAGGAGGAGGCGAGCCTGGCAAGGCTCGAGTCCGTCTCCCTGGCGGCGACGTGCCGGGAGGCCGCGGAGCTCAGGCTCGAGCTCCGGGACCTGCGCGCCTCGGCGGGGCACGCCTCCGACTCGCTTCGGCAGGAGGCCTGGGAGGCGCGCGAGGAGGGCAGGCAGGAGCGCGAGGCCTGGCGGCTCCATGCGGAGCGGCTGGAGACGGAGGCCGGGCGATCGAGCGGCGCGCTGGAGACCCGGCTGGAGCTGCTGGAGCAGCAGCAGGCCGCCCAGCGGCGCGACGACCAGCAGCAGTGCGACCGGCTGGAAGCGCAGGCGGCAGAGGGCTGGGCGCGTGTCAGCACCCTGCACCGCGAGGGCGAGGACCTGCGCGCGAGGGTGCAGGGTCATGAGCGTCGGGAGAGGGACCTCGAGGCTACGTGCCAGAACTTCTGGCAGAAGCTCGAGGCCGTCTGCATGGACCTCGAGGCCGCCCGGCGCGACGCCGGGGCCACGCCGGCGCTGGGCGACGAGGGCGCCCTGCTGCGCCGCGAGTTCGAGCTGCAGGTCGAGGCCCTGCAGGGCAGCGCCCAGAGCACTAACGCGCAGCTGCAGAGCGGCCAGGAGGCACTGGCAGAGGCGCTGGCGGGGGCGCTGCGGGACGCGGAGGCCAGCGGCGCGCGCGTGCTCGGCGAGGCGCGGGTGGAGGAGGTCCAGGTGGCGCAGGGCACGCAGGACGAGATGGCCCTTCGCTTGTCCGCAGCCTACGAGGAGCTGCGGCAGCGCGAGCGTGACCGGGCCGACTACACGCACAACCTCGGCAGGCTCGAGGCCGGGCTCGAGGGCGCCGTGGGCGCCATCGAGAGGAGCCGGGAGCTCAACGAGCGGCTCCGCTGCGAGGTCGACGAGAGTGCAGGCTGTATCCGCGAGCTGCGGCGGGAAAACGGAGCGCTGAGCCAGGAGCTGGGGGTCGAGCGGCACGAGCGTGCCGCTCACCTGGAGCCGGCTTCCCGGCCCCGCGCCGTGGGGCTGGACGCGGTGGCCCGCGAGCAGAGGCTGGAAGGCGAGGGCGCGAGCGCGGCGGACCAGCTGCGCGGCATGGCGGAGCCGCGGATGGGCGAGGCCTCGCAGCAGGCGGTTGTCCGGGAGCTGCAGGGTGCCCTCGAGCAGCAGCGCCTGCTGGAGGCCTCCGCGCTGGCCCGCGTCGCGGAGTTGGAGCGCTCCACAGAGCAGCAGCTGCTCGAGGCCTCGCAGCACGTGCGAGAGCACGAGTCACACAGGCTTCGCATCGAGGAGCTCGAGCGAGAGCTGGAGGTGATGCTTCAGGAACGAGTGGAGTTGCGCAAGCAAGAGGCCTCCTCTCGGGAGTACCAGCGGCACTTGGAGGACGCGTTAGCTGAGCATGCATGCGTCGCCCGTGATTTGCAGTGCGAGCTGGATCAGCGTACCGAGCATAGCGTGTTGCAGCAAACGCGCGTGAAGGACCCGGAGGCCATTCCGACACAGTACACATCGGATGTGCCGCAACAAGCTCCAGCTGGGAATCCGGAGCGCGACCTGGAGCGGAAGGGTGCCGTGCAGCAAGAGCGCTTGATGGAGCTGGAGGCCGCGTCTGCCCGCCAGATCCAGCAGAATCACGTGCACCTGACTCGCATTGGTGCGCTGGAGCTGGAGCTGGAGCGTCTGCGCCCGCAGGAGCCCTCGGCCCGCGCTCGCGCCCTCGGCCGGGAGGGCGCGGGCGCCGAGCAGGGCCTCCGCGGCACGCCGCAGGGGGCGAGCCTGCAGGACCTGCGGCACGAGCTGGAGCAGGCCCAGCAGGAGCTGCGCCAGGCGGCTCGCGCGAGGGAGCTGGACGAGGAGCGCCAGGCACGCGCGGGGGAGCTGGAGCTGGAGCTGCAGCGGCTGCGCCAGCAGGAGGCCTCGCTCCGTGCGACCATCTGGCAGCTCGAGGGCGCGGCGTCGCAGCAGAGCCTCCGCGACGCGTCGCAGCAGGCCCTCGCGCACGACCTGCAGCAGCGCGAGCTGGCGCAGCAGGCTCGGCTCAGGGAGCTGGGAGGCGCAGCCGACCAGGGACGCTGGGAAGACGCGACGCGGCAGCCTCGAGAGGAGGAGCTGGAGCGACTCCTCGAGCGGGCGCTGCGGAGGGAGAGGGCGCAGCAGGCCCGGTCTGCGCAGCTGGAGGAGGAGCTGCGGGAGAGCACCAGGCCGCAGCCCCTGCAGCAGGAGGAGCGGCTGGCCGAGCTGGAGCAGGAGCTGACGGACACGCGCGGGATGCACCACTGGCAGCGGGCGCGTCACAGGGAGCACGTCGCGGATCTGGAGCGCGAGCTGGCGGAGAGTCGGCGGGGGCGCGCGCTGGCGGAGGCGAGCGGCGGTCTCGAGCGGCGACTCGAGATGGAGGTGGCGGCGGCCCGCGCGGAGCTGGAGGTGCGCTTGCAGCGGCAGCTCCGCCAGCTGCACCGCGCGCAGGAGCTGCAGCGCGCGGGCCTGCGGCGCGGCCACGCCGCGCAGGCGCAGGTCGACGCCCTGGAGCGGCTGCTGCGCGAGCTTGAGATCGGCCTGCCGCGCGAGTCGCCTGCGGCGGCGCCCGCCGCGCTGGCGGCGGCGGCGGCGGCGCAGGTCGGCGCTGCGCGTGAGAGTGACCTTTGGCCAGGGTGGCCTCTGGTGCGCGGCTGTCGGAGGGCGCTGCGGGGCCAGGCCCAGGCATGCAGGCCGCTCCCGCCGCGCCGTAGGCAACGGCCAGGAAGCCGCACACCAGAGGCCACTCTTGCCCAGGGTCACCTTGACGTGCAGCCGAGCAGGGTGTGAGCGCGCAGCAGATGGTGACCGTGGTCGAGGCTCCGGCGCGGGTGCAAGAGCCCGTCCTGCGTCTCGTGGCGCCTCTGCCGAGCGTGGCGTCGCCAGTTCGCCGAGCGTCTGCCGCGCTGTCGCCAGGCAGCTCTGCCTCCGTGGTGTCTTCAGCAGTCGTGTCGCCAGGCGCGCCGCCCATGGGGCTCCTCGCGTCGCCCTTGCGCTGGATAGGCCAGTAGGGGCTGCCAGGTCGTCGAAAAAGCAGCAGCTTTGCGAAGGAGCCACCCTCAAGGCTTGCGCCAGAGCCAGCCTTTCTTTCTTTCTTTCTTTCTTTCTTTCTTTTTTTCCACTCGGCCAACTCAGCCTGCGAGCGAATCGCAGCGTGGAGCGGTGCCTTGCCCTTGGCCCACTCTGTGCACGCTTACTTCCCCCCGGAAGGCCGCCGCAGGCCGCCGAGGGCCACCGCAGGCCGCCGGTGGTCGCCGATGGCCGCCGATGGCCGCCGCAGGCCGCCGATGGCCGCCGATGGCCTCCAGTGGCCGCCGCCTCGCCTGCTGCTGCCCCCCCCGCGGGCCCGAGAAGCGAGTCTGGGCGGCGGTCGCCGGCCTGCGGCCGCCCAGCGCCCCTGCGCCGCGCCGGCGAGGGGGGGGGGGCGGGCGGATGGAGCGGGCGCCCGCGGCTGCGCCCGCGGCCGCGCCCGCGGCTGCGCGGCTGCTCCGGGAGGGCCCCCGCCCCACGCGCTCGGGGCGGGCAGTCCTGCCGGAGGGTTCCAAGGGGGGGTCTTTGGGGATGGGGGCTTTCCCAGGAGGGGCTCCCCCAGGGGGCTGCGCGCCCCCTGTTTTATGACGAGGTCTCGAGGCCCCTGGGGGGCTCCCTGGAGAGCCCCCTCCCCCGAAGAAACCCCTTTGGAACCCTCCGGTCCTTAGGGGCCCCCCGAGCGGTGCGGCGGCCACGCCGCGTGGTGAGCAGGTGGGGGCTCGGGGCGCCGCGCGGTGCTGGGCCTCGGGGCGTTCTCTCCGGGGAAGTCTCGAGCGGCTGGGGCCTCCAGGGCCCCGGGGCCGTGCGGTGGCGGGCCGCGCGGCGAGGTCGCTGGGGGGTCGGAGGCCACCACGCGGTCCGTCACCACACGGTCTTGGGGCCCCGAAGGTCCGCGGGCCGAATTGGGGGAACAAGAAGTGGCATAAACATACAAGCTCGGAGGTCCGCGCGGACCTCCGAGTTTTTATGTTTATGCCACTTTTTGTTCCCCTACGAATGTGCCTTTTTCCGTGCTGCTGTCCTCCTCGCCTTTCCTGGGGGTCGGGGCCCGTCCTGACAGCCAGAGCTCGGCGCGAGGTTCCGGGCGGCGGGAATTGCCCATGTCCGCCCCGGTCGGCCTTCGCCAGACCTCTTGAAGGCTCGGTAGCGGGTTCGGCAAAACGGTAGCGGCTGTGTACCGTCGCGGGGTGGTCCCCCGTTTTCCCCCGCGATCTCAGGCCCAGGATCTGCCCCGCCACTAGCATCGAGATGGATAAGTTACTGGGCGTCGTGGAAAGACCACATCGAGTGTTCTCGTCTGTTTTCTCTGTCTTGCCCCTCCTGCATTGTGGCACAACTCGCTACAACGGTACCTCCATTTAGGTAGTTCGCCGCCAGCGCAGTTACCCTGCTTAGCCGCCGGCGTGAAGCATGTTTTCGCCTGTTTTGGCCCCCCCCGGCTCACACATACACGCACACACACACACACACTTCCTCAAGGGGTCAGGCGCTGGCGTCCCACGACGCAGGCACCCACCTCGGCACCCAGAATGTCACGGACGCCACTCCGGAACGCCGCGCGTACGACAGCACCGACGCCACCACCCAGGCCAGCAATATGCCCAGTACCAACGCTAGCACCCACAAGGGGATGTAGCTCTGGGTGAGATCGCGAACGGATAAAACCATTTCGCCACGTGCGCCAGGGCACAGATCCACGGGAAGGAAGGCATCCCCCCTGAGGATCAATGGCTCATTTATGCTGGCAAGCAGCTGGGGAACAGCCTCAAGCTCAAGGAATGCAACATCCAGAAGGACACCACCCTGCACTTGGTACTGCGCCTGCGGGGGGGTCCCGAGCACCCTGCTCACCGGGCTCTTCTCCTGCCCACACCCTGCGTGCCCCCTCTACGGAGCTCTGCGGGCAGATGCCCATCTTGCAGCACGGATCGGCAGCTGCATACTCCAGCAGCGCCACTGCCCGGGCATGCTGCAGATGCTGGGGACTCTTAGACAGGCCTGACACAGGACGTGGCAACCATGCAGCTGCAGGGAGCCACCATCACAGGTGCGCCAACACTTCCTCCAGGCCTCACCCATCCACTGTCCACCATTCCACCACCGCAGGAAGCGCCACCAGCCGATGCTGCCAGTTCGGCTAGCGAGCCGCCCCTGCTTCCCGTTGCAGTCCACCAGGGCTTAGCTTCGCAGCTACAGGAGCTACACAAGAAATGTCGACGAAAGCGACATCATCCAGGCAACCAGGGCCGTTAATAGCAACCTGCCAGGCACCTATATACGGGGTATCATTGCTGCGCAGTGCGGCACGAGGGTCGCGGGGTTTCTTCTCGAGACTTCATTGATTCTATTCCAGAGCTTCATCACATGTAGCACCGCGCAGAACAAGGATTGATACCATAGTTGTCGCGTTCCTGATTGTGCGCCAGGAAGCGTGGCCCTTGCAACCATGACAGGCTCAATTGCGCTGGTCTTTGAGGGAGCGCCTCTTGTAGTGAAGAGGCAAGCTTGCAGGGAGGGGAATCGGGACGGGAGGTTGGGTTTCAGCATCGGTGGCGCAGTTTGGGTTTACTCTGGTCCTCCTTCCCTTCCTCCTTTTCTTCCTCCTTCTCCTCCGCCTTCTCCTTGTTCTGTCTTCCTCTTCCTCCTCCCCCTCCTCCACCATCATCTCTCTTCTCCTCCTTCTCCTCCTCCTCCTCCTCCTCCTCCTCCTCGTCGTCTTCCTTCTCCTCCTCCTCCTCCTCCTCCTCCTCCTCGTCTTCGTCGTCGTCGTCCTCCTCCTCCTTCTCGTCCCTGCCCGCCCCCCAGGACGTCAACGGCGTCCTGGAGGCGCTGGCGCACGGCGCCAAGGGCCTGGGGGCGGAGCACGAGGTGCACGGCCAGTCGGTGCTGAGACTGGGCGGAGCCACTCTCCCCCTCCGCCTCCTCCTCGCCCCTCCTCCTCGCTCCTCCCTCCTCGCTCCTCCTCCTCGCTCGTCCTCCTCCTCCTCCTCCTCCTCTTTCTGCTCCTCCTCCTTCTCTTTAGCTGCCTCATCGTCGCTGCTCCTCATCCTCCTCGTTTCCCCTTACTCCTCCTCTTCGTCCTCCTCCTCCTCCTCCTCCTCTTCCTCGCCCTCCTCCTCCTCGCCTTCCTCCTCCTCCTCCTCCTCCTCTTCCTCCTCCTCCTCCTCTTCCGCCTCCTCGCTCGCGTCCTCGTTCTCCTCGCTCCTCGCTCCTGGCCCTGCGCTCCTCGCTTCCTCGTCTCCTCTTCCCGTCTCCTCGCTCCCCTCTGCCATCACCTCTCCTGCCCCCCCCTGCTCTTCGCCCGCTCGTACAGGGCGCGCGCGCGCTCGAGCACCCCAGGGCCCCACGTGCCGATGAAGGCGGGGTGGCGGACGTTGTGTGATGTCAGTGAAGCCCTCAAGCTAGGTGTTCGTTTTGGGGACCGTCGTGGGGCCCGCTTCAGAAATCTGATCGGCTCCAGTTCGGCTGCAGTTCGGCTCTCGTTCGCCTGTAGTTCGACTCCGGTTCGGTTCCTGTTCGACTCCAGTTCGACTCAGTTCGGCGGGCGTTCGACGCAGCATCGACGCACGAGTGGAGCGAATGGCTCCAGGCAGTTCCCCAGACGGAACATTTAAGTCAAGTCTGGGGGCTTTCGCGGCCGATCTGGTTGGTGCCGGCGGCCGACGTGGAGGCCATGTCGCTTCTGGGGGCTGTCAGGTTCGCCCCGCGCGGGGGGCTGCTTGTCGTTGGGAGGCTAAGGGCCGTCAGACTGGAGGACCTGGCCGCTGAATTAAAAGTTCTTGTTGCTGCATGAAAGAAGTTGGCTAGTGGCGTTCGGCCCAGCCGCCATCGAGCCTGGATCGCGGACGAGAGGCCGCTCGGGAGCCGCTTGGGGTTTCTTGGAAGGCCTCTTCGCGGCTTCCTGGGGGCCTTCTGGGGGGCTCTTCGGGGCCTCTTCCGGGCCCCTTGAGGTCTCCTGATGGCCTCCTGAAGGTCCGTGGGGGTGTCTTGGACTCGTCTCGGTGGTCTGCTGGCGGCCTTGGGGCTCATCTCGGGGGCTTGGGGAGAGGACTCCGAGTGCCAGTCCGAGCTGAACCGTACCCCCCCCCCCGCCCTTGGGGGCTGCCGGGGGCTGTCGTGGGGCGACCTTCGGGGAATTCTTAGGCGCCTGGGACGCCCTTTGAGGCCGAGAAGCCGAGATCGTGGCAATCGTGCTGCATGCATTTTTTTTGTCGTCGCAGCCTCCAAGACGGCCCAAGAGGCCCCTGCGTCTTGGGTGGCCCCCAGCGTGGCCAGCGGCGGGCCCTCTCCTCAGGCTGCATGGCTTTCGGAGGGACGTGCACGAGTCGAAGGCGGCCTCGTGGCCCCCCCCCCAAGAGGCTTTGAGGAGTCGTCCCCACAACTTCTCCACGATGGCCTGCAGGGTCTTCTTCGGCGCCCACCTCTTTCGTCCTCTTGCCCTTTTCCACGTGGAGGCGTCCTTTCGACGGCGGACGTCGTGATGTTTGGGTATCTTTAGTAGCCGTAGCTCACCACGGCGACGTGCCCATCGTCACGGCAAGCGTTGAGGCGCCGAATTTGTTTTCCGAGATCCAGGCCCAGAGTGTTGTGAAGGACTCTGCGGCGCTCGTATTCAGGGAAGCGCGAAAACGAATTTGAAGACGAATTGTCAAACAAAGCGGGAAGTGCGCGAGACCCGCGGGAGATTTTTTGCCGCCCTCCTTGTGTCGGCTGGAGGCTGGTCGTTGCTGTACGGTATGTATGGTTGCGGTGTGGTATGCTGTGCTGCGGCATTGCGTTCAGTCCCTTGGCACACCGTGGCGGTCCCATTGCACTTTCCCGCCGCGGAATGCCATGCAATGCTGTGCTGTCCACCTGGACGGCAAGTGGGCCGTCAAGGGGAGAGAGGGGCGTCCGCAGGCGGCGCGCTGGAGGGCCAGCTGGCGGACATCCAGCGGAGGCTGGAGGCGAAGCTAGAGGCCCTGGGCTTGCATCGGGCACGCCT